TGGTCCTCTACAGTAACTTCAGCCAATACAGCCAGAAAAGTAACTCCAACCTTACTTTTTCGGCTTATTACACAATTCAGCGCGCGAAAGTAAAAGTTACGTGTTTGGTGAAAAAGCTGGCTGATAAGCCTGATAAGCCGAAAACAGAGTTCTCCAAACGGGCTCATAGTGTGGTATTGAAAGGATTAGGATATAAACTACTCTTTTGAATTAATATTTAATTTGTCTTTTCATTTTTCAATTTGTTCTTTTAATAGATTTACAATTTCAATGTGGCTTTTACTCTTATCAAGCATTCTAGATAATTCGCTTGTTTGTTGGCCTATGATTTTTGTTGCTGTTGCCTTACTTCTTTGGATAATGGGCAGAGAAACGTTATTATTACTGCTAGTACTCGCTGACTATTCAGCTCCCCAAAAGAAAATTTGATTATTACACTTCATTTCTTAGCTTATACCATATTTCGAAAACTATCTCTTTGGACGACTGATGTGCTGAGTGTTTTGGCGGTATCTTCCTCGGGAAGATTTCTTTTGCTTTTTTTTTTTTTTTTTTTTTTGCTTTTATATTTATATATAGTTAGATTTATAGATATAGGCTATGTTTGGCTGACATAAGTCTATAGCTTTTGGTTTTTGTACTATTTAAAAAGTCTCTAAAAGTTGTTAGTTGTTTGTTTGGCACGCCAATTTTTAAGAGCTTTTCAAAAAATAAAAGCTCTTTTTTGAGATGCTACAGGTAGTAGCATCTGAGAAAAGTCTGTGACTTTTATCTTTAATAAATCCTAACAGCTTGTATGCCAAACAGAACTAAATCAAACAGACAGCTTTTTACCAAACAGCTACCACATTTTACTTTTAAGATCTTTTCAGTCATTAAAAGCTAACAGTTACTAAAAAGCTCACAAAAAGATCTTTTCAGCTAATTGTACCAAACATAGCCATAGATTAGCCGGGACTAAGAGTAGCCATATATAGTTTTTTTTTGGATGAGTAGTACTAAAGTATTTGAATTGTGATAGGGAAGAAGATCAGGATGAAATCATCTTACTCATAATGTGAGATTACAAAGTATTTATACAGTGTAGTAGCTCAACAAACTAACAGAATCTAACACAAGCCCGTAACTTACTATAACAGTACTAACAGTCTATTTAATACTGTTAGCATTCCCCCCTCAAACTTAGGGTGATTGTTTTGGAAAATCAATCATACTCAGTTTGTTTCTAAACTCAAGAAAGGTAAATGCTAATAGAGGCTTGATCAGCTTGCTTCAATGTGACTTTCTCTCGTACAAAGAATAGGTCAAGCTCCATATGTTTGATATGAGAGTGGAGTACAGGATTATGTGCAAGCTGAACTGTACTCAGGTTGTCACAGTAGATCCTGGGAACAAGGAAAGGAACTTGAAGTTCTTTGAGCAGGAATTGAATCCACAAAATTTCTGAAGTTGTGTCTGCTAGGCTTTTGTATTCAGCTTCTGCTGAGGATATGGCCACCCTTAATTAGTTGTTTTCTGGACCACCAAGAGATAATATTGGACCCCGGAAAGATACATAACCCAGCTGTAGATTTCCCGTCTCACTACAAACAAACTGCCATTTACCAACAGTAAGAAAATTGTTGGTATAAATACATAAATTGTTGGAATAGACATCAATTGGTTATACCAACGGAAACGAATGCAATTCCCACAGAAATTTGGGTGCTGGTATACGTTCCGTCGCTATAGACCAAAACCAACACATTTATTGCCCGTCGGAATAGCTCATTAAATTGTACCAACACTACACTAACCGTTAGTAATCTTATTTACTATTGGTATACATTTTAACCAATTTTACTTAGCTTTATGCTATAGCAACACTTCATATGGCGTTGGTATTGCTCTTATTGTATTTAAAAACAATTAAATTATAATTCATATTCAAAATACTCAAACATACATTCAAAATAGAATTACATGTTGAGGTCTAAGAGATCTAAAATTAAAACATTATTTCGAATATGATTCAAAAGTACTAATTAATCATTTTAATAAAGTGAATAACAATCATACTAAACAAAGAAATGCAATATCAAGTCATACTATCATCCAAGTATAACATAATTATTTGGTTGAAGCAAAGCAAGTTCCATTTTTGTCCAAAAGCTTCTTTATCTTTCAACACTTGAAAGACTAAATCTTGATACCTGAAATTAAAAAAATCACAATGTTTACCAAATGAATAATAAACTATAAGAAAGATTTTCATATAGATGAAAAGTACAGATGAATTAAACCATCAAAAGAAAGAAATATAAAAAGAGAAATACATCAGTAAACCTTGAACTTCAATACATTCAGATTGTGAACTAGTAATAAGAAGTAATTACAGATTATGTTCACACATCAAACTAATAACCAATTTTCCATCATTTGCAATGGAACACAATAAGCTGGATTGTATCTGTGATAACATATGAGGGCATAATGACAATTCTTGCCACCAACTTGACAAGTAATTGGGTTGCGACCACCATTACGAGAACCTCTGCCTCTGTAAGAGCCTCCTCTACCTCTACCTCTTTAAGAGGAAGTGCCACCTGAGTCATCAAATTGAGCCACTTGGGCTGAAGCATCACCTGAAGGATTGTGAGGTTCATCATCATTGGTCTGTGAGGAATCTTCAACTCGTGCAACATTGGCTGAGAATAATGTCTACTGAGATGAGTCACGAAGTTTCTTCAGGCGTAATTCCTTCGCCTACGTAAAATATAGTTTTATTAAAAATAAAAATTTTACGAAAACTTCAAGTTTTACGGAAACTCGGTTTTATATACGAAAAACTGATTTTTACGAAAACTTTGATATACGAAAAATTCATCTTTTACAAAGTCTGATGAATAAACTAAATTATTAGATGAAGAACCACCAATACTCGGTTGCTTAGGTTTCGGTGTATAGAACGTGATGAGTTACACTTATAATAAAAGAAAATTAAAATGATTAAAATTATCTTACATGGGTTATGTTTAGTAATTCTAGGTAGCGCATAAAGCAATTCTTTATTTGGATACATAAGGCACGTTTGTTAAAACTAAACTTGACTGAATCGGAACAATTTGTTGAAATTGTTAATTTCTGGCTGAAATGACTGCATTGGTTAAATCATTGAAATATTATACTCCCTCCATCCCGTAATTAACTTCCCACTTCAATTTCACACATATTAAGAAAATAATGTTACTAAGGGTAAATTTTACTGTTTTGACTCTGTTTTGCATTGTTTTGATGTAGGCAATTTGCCAAATAAGGAAGTGGGAATAAGTGGGAGTTAATTTCGGTACTGCCCAAAAAGGAAAGTGGGAAATTAGTTTCGGAACGGACGGAGTATTTTAAAATGTACTTTGTTAATAAATTTAAGAAAAAATATATGAGAAATAGCTAAATGCTCTATAGTAAGTTCACCCAAAATATTACCCCACGTGAATGATTTTTGAAAATTTCACAATTCTGCGGGAAAAATCAAATCTACGATTTTTGGTTAAAAAAGGCTGATAAGCTAAAAACAAGTTGCCAAACGGGTTCATAGGTTCGGGCTATGTTTGGGATTTCGAGATATATGTGGAGGCTAAAGTCTGAATTAAGATTTATTGTTTGAGCTAATGACTATTGTCTTGACTTGAATTTTGAAATGTTGCATCCGAACTATTAGTTGAACAAGGTAAATATGTTTGATAAAAAAAGGTGAAAAACGTCCATATAATATGACCTGACCAGATCATATCATACCAAATAAAATCAGATTCGATCATAATAGACAAATCAGGCAAAAAATAGTCAATTTTAAAACATTTTAGTGGAGTTCTCCCTAAAATTTAGAACCATATATTGGATTAGAATTCAACAAATATCTTGAAAGTGTTTATGGGTAAAATTTGGAGTTAATTAGCTTATTATAGAGTTAATCACAATTCAAGCAGAAGTGGGATAGGCATAGAAAACTAAACTATCTTATTATAGAGTTAATCTTTCATATTTTGAAAATATTTAAATTTTTATTTAATCACCAAAATTGAGACCATGACACATGATTTGGTACTAAAATATAAAAAGGAACTACGAAATTATAAAACTTTTACTTAATACTCCGTATATAAGATCATATTACCATCAATAACTCAATCTAATGAAAAATAAATCGATCGCTACCAATCACAATATGTACCATGTTGTCGTTGTCATCACATTCATTAAAATAGGAATGTCACAAATTATTTTTTCTATGTTGTTCTTAAAGAAAGAGACCGAAGGACTAATTTGCGAAAATCTAAAACCTATAAGGGCTATTATCTTCAAAAGAAATTGACTTCACCCATTTTTAAATAAATGAATTGCAAAAAAAGTGTAGTTAATTTTGAAAAAATGACTAAGCCACGAATGAAATTTAATTGATAGAAATAAGGATTGATGATTTTCTTTTTTCTTTAGGTAAAGATGGTTGAAAAGATTAATTGCATTTAAATGCAATTGAGAGTTGTAAAAAATGTTCTTTTCATCAAAATCCAAACTACAAACATTTTAGATAATTAGTTCAAAAATAGGATATAATCAATAAATTAGTATATGCATGATAAACCAATGTTATAATCAATTAAATAAGTGATTTTTCATTAGTAAAACTAAGCAAAATCATTTTAATCCGTGCACGGCACGGGTAAAGATACTAGTATACTCCGTATGTAATTGTGATAGAGAAGGGGAAGAAGATGAGTGAGATTGAAGACAAAGGTGCGGATTATGGAGGAATTCGAGTGTACTCCATCATCTAGCTTATTTAAGAATGGATGAGGCTGGTTGGATGGACTGTAGGCTATGGAGTATACTACGTATATGTTTAGGGGCAAGCAGATATTTAAAATCGATTATTTAATTACTTTAATTTAGTGGTTGTGAATAATCGTTCCGTGGCTATATATAGAATGACTCTTTTGTTTTTTGGAAATTTAAGTTTAAAATATCCAATCGGTTGTTCCTGTCCGGTCTTGTCTTGACCCAATGCTCACGCCTTTTAACATATGGACCTCACATTCTACAAACGGACTAAAGCCCAATTTCTAAATTGTTTCTTCAATTATTATGACGAATCTAAAATGAAGCATCCAAAACCCATGATTTCGCCAGCTTCCCCGCTCTTGGCTTCCAATTCAACAAATTGCAGTTCTTCCATATACATCGTCGCTCGGCAGGTATATCTTTTTCTACTGTGGATTTTATGGAGTTGTAGGCAATTTGCAGAATCTATCATATTCTAGTAGAATTGTTTCCCAGAATTCAGACCTTGTTTCAAACCTCCTCCCCAGTCCAGACCTCCAAACCTCCTCCACAGTCGGTCTTCCCTATCTTGTGCCGCCTGTGCGGCTGTGACTCTGTTGCAGACTCGCAGGAGTCGCAGCGACAATCAGTCTTCCCTCCGCCTCCACTCCTCGCGTAAGTCGCAGCATCCGAAGTAGTCCTCCTACAGATTCCGATGAATTCCTAGGGGATTGGTGAGATTGTGGGTTGGATATTCCTTCACATTTTAGCCCAAAAATCCTTTCAAATCCTTAGAAATCCAAGACATAGAAAAGCCATGGAATTGTTGAGGATATGAGATTTAGGAGGATTGAATTGAATTCCATGTTGAATTATAATTAGGGACACCCCTATGTTTCTTCTTCCGCCTTCACTGCTTTAACTTCAAATCTCATAAATTATCCAGATATGAAACACAATTAGATGTCTTTATAGTTAAAAAAAATAGATGGTAGTAACTCCAAATCTGAACAATAATCTACAGATTAGCCCTATATTTTCGATTAAGATATGTATATAACACCACTCTCATAAATCTTATTTCCATGTCTGTTAAGTATTCTGTATTTTCTTTGTTATAATTTTTTAGTTACACAAATTTATATACTTTATCTACAACATATGATTTGGCTGTATAATTGTTGTTGTTTTGCAATTTTATCATTTTGCAATTTTGTAATTAGAAGCATCCATAACATTAGGACTAAAACATTTTTCCTGAACTTCAATCTGTTATATTGAGAAATCTGCATTTATGCCAGTTATTTTATTGCTTAGGCAAAATAAAATTTCATGTAGAGATGCTGGAGCAGCTGGATTGTAGGTAAGGAGAAGTAAACATCTTCAGTTCAATTATATAATATACATGACTCCCAAAATGATATACATGACTTGTTTTCAGCCCTCTATTATTCAGTGAGATAAATTTCAAAAAGCCTTGAATTTGTTATATGGAAGTATGGAACCAAAAAAGAACTATCGTTATAGTTATAGTTATAGTTAGTAGTGGTCCTTTGTATTACTCTTTGCACATCTCCCACGCTGTACATCTTATTGCAAAGAACTAAATTATCTAAAGTCTAAACATTAAAGAAAATTATAAAAAAATGGGCAGAATCCAGCAGATGCTTTAGCAAAGAAACCTGTGAGACCCTCAAGGTAAGGCCCACACCTGCCTTTTCCCCTTACATAGTGGCAGAGTCTACACTTATCTTTGTTCTCTCTCCAGTCAATTTTGGCGAGAAATTTGCAAAGCAAACTTCATTAATATATTGAGAGAGATTTTCATACCTTATACACCAATCAACTTCAAGAATTAGGTTTTGCTTATGTAGAAATGGTGGGTGAAGAGAAAGAAAGCAATGGATTTGGTGGTAGCAGCTGTATAAGACTTATGGTAAACAATAGTCAGGCAATGAAGTCTGCCAGTGCTTCTGGCATTGAAATTGCAAATGCTAGTGGGAGATCTGCAGACGCTTCTGGAAATTGTTTAAGAACCTACAAGAGACGAAAGGGCTTAAAAGCAGAAGGAAAGGCTTCAGTGGATTTAGCTGATCAAGTTGGTCTTAAGGTCAGCTGACATTTGCTGTTCTCTACATTCTCTGCATCAACTTTCTGTTATCTATTTCATTATTATTCGTATAGATATTAGGCTGATTAAGGACTTGATCATGCAAGACTTTGAATTCAAAACCAATACTACATTAAGAGGAACTGAAATGAGTATATGAGTAATATGTAAATGCAAACATAAATGATCAAGCCACACTCCAGCTAATCAAACCAAGTATCTAACTACCATGTGGGCAAAGCTGACTAATATAAGCTGAATCCGGCTGAATTTGCTGTCTTGGCTGATGGCTCACAATCCTTACATATGTATTGTGTGGTAGACTTAGTGCTCCTTCACGATGGGGCATATGTGTCATGAGGACTACCAAGTTCAGATTACAGTTACAAACTCCAGAAAGAATTATTTGTTCTTGGTATGCATCCCGCCTCCAAGCTAAATAGGCATTTCTCTTGACCTGTCAGACTGTCGCATAGACAGAATTAAACATTTTTGTAGAGGATAAAGTGAATATAGTTTTCGATTTTTCTTCTTTAGTATACTTCGAGACTCTGTTAGCCGACTCCAGACTCTTTTGGGACTAAGGCTTGGATGTTGTTGTTGTTGTTGTTGTTGTTGTAATATACTTCAAGACTCAATGAGATGCTTCTGATGAGATTAAGTCAGAATGCGTACCATTTTTTTTGAGTAGCTCCGTGTCTAATATCCAAGTAGAAGTAGTACATACTGTATCATTCAGATCGTGGCAAACAAAAGTAATTATGGTGTATATTGAAGAGTGGTCAACAAAAATGCTTTAGGCCAATCTAGGTTTAGTAAATGTGGTTTGGATAAACTTAGGTCTGAGTAAAACTACTTGTGTGAGAGAAAAGCATGCAAACTACTTTTACTGTAGACAAATGAAAGGAAATCATTTTTGGGCAGCCTTAAATGTTAATCCAGAAATGCAATAAATCTGGTCACATCTCCAAAATTTGAAGTGTTGTCACTGATTTGGACATTTTTGGGGTTGAAGGAGGGTCTATAGACCTTATGTAATTTGTACTACTCGAAGTGAGTCCTACAAAAGACATTTCATTTTTTTTGGGAAGACAAAAGGCATTACATTTTTAGTCTCAACATGATGAGCACTTCTCCACTGGACTATAGCTCCTCCTTCACCTTAGCTAATACTCCCTCCGTCCCCTTATTATTGTCCCAGTTCCTATTCACTTAGTCAACACAAATCATTCTTAGTTTCTTACTTTATATATAAAAAATTTATCAAATTTGATTCAGGTTTTTGCGACTTTGTAAAGCTTTTAATGTAGTTTCTGAATATGTAAAAATTTTTTCCAAAAAATAATTTGAGTGTGGACAGGGATCCGTTTGCTTTATCGTCGGTCAAACATCGTAAACCGTAAAAGGACAATAAAAAGAGGACGGAGGTAGTATCAAAGAGGATAACCATATTATTTTATATCACTTGCCACTTGTATTCCACAATATACATTTATCAATTTAAGTAGAATATGAACTGAAAATCCAAGAAAGCACCAGGGAATTACACAATTCCCAGGAGAAAAACTGTTCCGTCACATTGAGATGTGGTGCGTTCTTATTAAGATTATATCATAGCTATACAAGTATGAGGTATTCCACAATATTCAATTTAATTATTTAAGGGGAATATGAAGTATGAACTGACAACCCAAGAAAGCATTAAATTATTACACGGGAAGAAATGAAAAAAAAAAACAGTTCGGTCCTATTGAGATGTGATGCTTTCTTATTAAGAGTATGACATTATATATTTATATGTTGTAGTGTAACCACAACCAAGGTTTAGAAGGGCTAGTTCAGGTATCAATGCAGTTTGTTCCGGAGACGCGAGGCGTAAGAATTGAGGCGTATTGAGGTGTAAGCTTCAAAATGTACCAACAAATAAAACATAAAATAGTTAAACTAGTAATAAACAACAAAAGAAATGCATAATTATAATTATGAGTCTTAAAAGACTGAAACACAAACACAGATATGAACACAAGCCCTTCATCATCTGTTGGCAAATCATCTACCAAAAGATTTCCTCATTTCCCTCATCATTGGTTTGGGATATTTAAGGTATCTATCTTTCAGTCTTTTGTAAAACCTTGACCATTCTAGGGAAACATGAGTACATGACCAACAACTCAGTACAAGAAGGAGAGAGAAGGAAAAGAAGGGAAGGTGAGGAGATGAAAAATGAGAAGAGATGTAGAAAAAGAGGAAGAATGAAGAGAAGGGGATGAAGTAGAAAAGAGTTAGAGAGGAGAAGAGAAGTTACCTAGAAGAATAGAGTGTTCGTAACAAGTTGTCGACTTCTTTGGGTAGGAGTACGAAATTTTCTGTATGCAGAAGTAAAACATTTTAAAAATTAATGAATACTTTAAATGAAACAAGACTTGTTAGGGATTTAGTGTGGACTATGGACACATGTTTAATGTATGGACCTTCTATTAAATAAAATACACTACGCCTTTCCTATGTTACAATCCATTAAAAAAATAGAACAAAGGAAGTTGCGCATCAGAAAACACCTCAAGGCGTGCCGCTCACCTCAATGAGTACGCAGATACGCCTTAACTTTTGAGGTGTAAGTCGCTTGATGCGCGAAAAAAATCTAAGCCCTGATACCTTCTTTGTACGCCTCACCTTGAGGCGCGCCTCAAAACCCGCCCCGTATGCCCCACAACTTCATCACACTATAAGGTAAAAGAGAGTTTACCCAAAATAGGACTAAAAAGGTTTGGAAATTCCAAAATAGGACTGACATGTTTTTATTTTCAAAATAGGACTATTTACTGCCATGTTTTGGCAGTACCAGACTTCAAACATGACACTATTTTCCAAACTTGGCAGTAATTACTCCTATTTTGGGAATAAAAAACATGTACGTCCTATTTTGGAATTTTCAAACTGTTTTAGTCCTATTTCGGGAACTTTCCCTAAGTAAAAAGATGTCATACAATGAATATGATTCTCTGGAGTGCTTCCTGTTACGCTGTAATTTGGGAAGCATCATAATTTATACAATGTTGTTTTTGTCTATAGTCTATGCTATTGTCTTACAATGTTTGCCATTGTGCCTGCTGTTATTGTCTTATTGATTTCCTTCATGCTTCCTATCCATGTGAAATTAATGGTGCATTATTGTATAGATTTTGAAGGTTATTTTTTGTTGATTTTTATGCTTATTTCTGTAGATTTGTACCACTTTGGCCTTTTTCTAACCACTGCTTTTTTGTCAATGCTTCATTCGTTTGATCATTTTTGAATATATTTACTGCAGCCAGTGGACAGGAATTCTCATTCACAAACTAGTGTTGCTCAGGGGGGATCAAATGACCATTTGAATGAGCCCATTAATCTCTCTAAAATCAGATTGAGGAATGTTGTTCTAGAGCAGATTTACCTATCATTGGAGAGTGAAAGTGGTTTGAAAAAATGCATAAGAGAGGCTTTAGTTTCACATGCTGACACTGAATGTGCAACTTCAGTCAAGGTATTTCAGTTTGATGTTCAATTAGATCATCACAACTTCTTTCGATCTTTCCAGTATTTTGTTTGTTATGCAAGGAATCCGTTAATTGCTGCAATGATGACACAAAGTGCACTCTTCCATCAAACTCGATGACTTCTGATGTCCTGGCTAATGGGAATGTGGACATGCCATCCACTGGATTAGTAAAGGGACCAGATCATTGCACAACTAGTCAGCTCTGCCAGCGCTTGTTTTCAGATATTATCTTATCCGAAGATTTTTCTCAATTATGCCACATGATTTTTGAGAACTTTGAAGGAACAAAGGCTGATAAGTTTCTCCATATTGGCACTATGCATTCAAAGATGAAAGATGGACTGTATGAAGATTCTCCCATGTCATTTTACTCTGATATTCAAGAGGTGCGACTTTGACTTCCCTAGATGAGGCTTTTTCCATGCATTTAAGATCATTCTGTGGGAGTGCTATACTGTGAGGCACATAAATAGGTTAGATGCTAGAAATTGAGGATTATGGGCTTAGAATCCTTGGATGGACTCTTTTGCTGCACTGGATCACCACAATATCTTTAAAACATATGGTGTTTTGGCAATATGATACTTGATTCATCTTTTAAAACTTTATAGTAGTGTGTCAATGGCCATTTGAATTGCTTCTTTAAACTTTTTTTAACTTCCAAAATCCAAACAGTTTATTCTACATGCTAATATTTGACTGTCATCTCACGATTGTGATAATTTTAATCTGTCCTTGGGATGCTTCTATCCCCAAATTTGAAGAAGTTTGAGAAACTAGTTTCTGATGTCTTTCAGTCTTTATTTAAAATGTTGGTCACTTCACTGCATGTAGCCTGATACATATATTGATATTGTTATAAATAAATGGATGTGTCCTAGATAGCAATTTGCACTTGTTCATCCTCAAATCATATTTTGTGTCTCATATATTGCTATTTACCTTGTTAATAATAATTTATAGAAATGCTGCAGACACGTTTCTGTCAATTTTTGAAAGAGAATACTTTTCGCATTTATAGTTTTGTTACTTTCCATTTGCCTAGATAATTGATATGAATGATCATGCTCTTGATCTCTTGGTACAATATCTACTGGTTATGTTTTAGGGGAGGTGGATTCATGGAGATGTCTGAAAAAATTGTGGATGCATGGTAGTTATAGGTAGTCATACTTAAGGAAGAAATCTATTAGGATTAATTAGGGACTTAGGGTTCCCTGCATTTGCTTCTACCAGACTGTGAGAGTATGCTATGTTTTTAAATGTTAGGGTTCTGTTGTCCTATGGTAATGGGGTTATTATTTTAATACGATTATGTGATATTCTTGTGCATTCTTTTAAGAATACGTGGGCTTGTCATTTATTTCTGGTTAAACTTTTGTGTGTACTGTTTTTGATTTGGTTGCTCAATGCATGTATGATACATTGATTTGACAATTTTCAAGTTTTTTTGTTAATGAGCCTTTTAAAACATGTTCATGTGTGCTTAGTGCGCAGGAAAAGGGAACTGGATTTATCAATTACTATGAACATTGCAGTCCAAAATTTATGTTGACAGATCTTTTGAAGTAGGGAATGGCTGTGCATGCTTAATTAGCAGTCTTTATTTCACTTGAAAATATTATTTCACTTTGTGTTAAGAGTTTATGCTCAGGATAATTTAAACTTGCAAATCACTGATTTCGCTGCTCACTTGCAGATGTGGTCAAGGCTTCATAAGGTTGGAAGTGAATTACTAGCTATTTCAAGGAGTCTTTCAAACAAATCTACCTTTTGTTTCCGGTCTCAGGTACATGAATTGCAACTGCTCCTAAATTGTGCTATCTTTGATCAATCTCTCTCTGTGTGTGGTCATGCTCATATATACTTTCCACTCGTATGTGCTTCATTTGTTTCACTTTTGGTCTAACTTGTGTGATCTGAGATTGCTAATCATCTGATCATCTCTTATGGTGCAATGGAGCACAAATATAACAACTATCATAAATCATTGTTGTCTCATGATATCTTCCATGCAAGTGAAAATATGCCATGATCACAACAGTTTTGGATTTTCTTGTCATCACTAAAATTGGCTACCTATGTCGGCATCTCGCTTAATCAACAGCCTAACACACACCTATATTGCACTAGTTACATCTGTCCCCCTTCTAGCCTTTTTTGTCTCAGGGAAGAAATAGAGAATAGAGAAATGGGTGAAAAGTAGATGTAGAAGAGAGAGACATAGTAGAAAAACAGGTAGATTTTGAGATTGGTTGTAAGGAGGAAAATGAAGAAGAAATGCGTAGAAATTAGGAGATTTATTCCTTCCAAAAGAAGGCATAAAGAGCGGTCTATTTATGGTGTTGACATCTGAGTTTGACTATTTTATGAAGTTTGTAGTTCACTAGTTCTAACTTCAAGCTCTGAGCACCATACGGTTTCAGATCCACTGCAATAGGTTTAACATAGTTCACAAGATATTATATTTGAATCTTTGCATGATTGAAATAGTAGTTATTTGAAGATATTTACAGCTCCTAGTACTAACTTGTATTTTGTTATAAATTTTCAGTTTGTTACAGAGGAACTTGGCACGAATTGCCAAGCAGACAGTCTGAAGCCAAGGACCTGCAAGCAATGTGGAGAGACTGCACATGGAACCGATTCCTTAGTTTGTGATACATGCGAGCAGATATACCATGTTTCCTGCATCCACCCTGTTGTTAAAGAAATCCCATATGCAAAGAACTGGTATTGCGCCAAGTGTACCAAAAAGGATATTGAACACGCCAACTGTGTAGTTTGTGAAAGACTCAGTGCCTCTAAAGAAGAACCCCATGACGATGAGCTTATGAAATTAGAAAAGCAGATTGAGATGGAGAGCTCAAATGGCTTAATGGACGACGACAATGACAACGAACATGTTCAATATTTTGACGAAGAGCCCATATGCAATGTCTGTAAAACAGAGGCAAAGCATGGTGGTGAGAGCTTAAAAATGTGTAGTCACAAATTCTGCCCTCACAAATTTTACCATGAGAGATGCCTGAGTTGGGAGGAGTTGTGTTATCATGGTCCCATATGGTATTGTCCGTCTTGTCTTTGTAGAAGATGTCGCAAAGATTGTGATGACACCGAAATTGTTCTGTGTGATGGATGTGACCATGCATACCATATGTACTGCATGAGACCCCCAAAGTCTTCGGTTCCAACTGGAAAATGGTTCTGTGAAAAATGTGAAGCTGGTATACAGCGCATATCCAAGGTGAAAAGGTCATATGAGAAAATTGCAAAGAGATTGAAAGAGAGAGATCAGGCGTGTGGAGTGTTACACAAGGAAAAAGGTAACGGTGAGGCTTTATATAAGTCTGGCGGTGGTGGTGTAGACATGCTACTCAATGCTGCTAAAACTCTTAACTATGAGGAGAATTTGGCTGTCACCGGGGAAGAAGGTTGACAGAAGCCAGTTAGTTTCGGCTAAACAAAGACTGGTGTTTTTGGAACATTGTAAACTGGGCACATGGTGCTTTCTTTGTATTAGGGGGTATATATGCATACAAGGGAAATCAGACCTGTACTACTACTACTAATAGCTCAAGTTTTAACTTGTAGCCTTCATTTTTTTTGTACCATGCAAATTGATTGTATAACTGACCGACTGACTGAGCCAGGCTCTAGCAAACCATCCTTGAATTGGTTCAGGTTTCATGTTCTGTATTCTTTTTGGTAATGAAATAACTGATGATTGTGACTTGTGCTTGAGAACACAGTTTTGAAGTTGAAGTCTAGTGCAGAATTGCAATTTAAGGTTGATCATGATATGTCCCCTCCCCACAAAACAAATGCTGGCTAGGTTGAAATGAAAGATTATTTGGCAATTACTGTTTTACCACTTTCTTGGGTATTCCTTCCCACTTTCTTGGAATCATCAGATGTTAGTCTTTTAAGATGTTTTTCTGTTGGATTATAATTTTCTGGTCTGATTTGGCTTGTTTAACTCTAGTCTAGTCTGAAGTGGTTTGGTAGATGTCTTTTTCATGTGCACTTTACAATTGTCGAAGTCTGTTCTGGGATTGAAATTAGTCCCATTGAAAACATCCTTATAGAGTAGAGGTTTGCCTGGTTATATAATCCTCAAGCAAACCGTTTCAGCCGCTTAGGAGTGCCTATGTTAGTGATGTTTTTCCAAAACAATATAATGTTCGGTTTGAAGAGCACACGGATCAAAGATGCAATAAATCTCCCATTCAAAATATACAATCAAGGAATAGTTATTTCGCAGTCCCAATTACAATTACCACCATAAACAAGTAAAATACAATGCCATGCAATTCATGATTCATGTCTTCAATCCATAATCTGTAGGCCTTTTAGAATAGTACAATATACTACAGCACAATATGGCTGTTCTAGATGGGGATATCGGTGGGGTAATCCTTAGGGTGTCTCATGACAGTGTCTCTTAATGATTTTTCTTGTTCTTTAAGGTTTGAAGGCAGATGGTCATAAACATCAGTAAACAAATTTGACAGTGAAGGTTTCTCCATCCTCTCTGCTTCTTGAATTGCTTGTAAAACCTGAACTCTGGTATCCCGGCGAAGTTGAGTTTCCTTCTCATCACTCCACCATCCCTTCTTCTGTATCCATTTTCGGAACCTTGCCACGGGGCTTCGTGTTGTCTTCCAGTGCTCTATTTCTTGTGTTGGGCGGTACTTGGTGGAATCATCAGATGTTGAATGGTGAGATACACGATACGTTAGGGCCTAGATAAGGTGTTTGATTTTTTACAACATCAGAGTGGAAACAATACACACACACAAACAGTTATACTACCTCCATCACTCCATCTCTAAAAGTTCTTATAATGTCCTTGTGATATGTGATTGTGAGTACTTAATAGCATTAGGCAGGGATATCACACATGGATGGTAAAGTAAAGTAAGACTTATTTTAACCAAAGGAAAAAATCCAAAAAGAAAAACATAGTTTTATTTTAGGATGGAGTAAAATGTTTAGTATGAAGTCAATATGCCATTTCTAGTGAAGTGATAGCCTCTTATTTAGAGCAGTTATGTTGATGATGAAGAAAAGTCTATTTGGTAGCCAAAAGCAGCGCGCCTATAGTAGCGCAATCACAAGCACCTTTTGATTTACTTGTTTGGTTGAAGTGGATTTATCGAACATATTTGCTTTTATAATTCAGCAAATTAAGCTATGTGAGCCAAAAAGACATTTCCAAATAGCTTTTTAATGAATACCTCAACAAGTATGGGGGCTTGTTGTTTGATGGCCATTTCACGAGCAACACGGATGGCATGGTAGACTGCAAGAGCGTCATTTCCATCAACACGAATACTTTTAATCCCATAACCTTTTCCTTTACTCACAATTCCATCACCTATGTACGCAATAAACACACTCATTTAGTGGCCAAACTAATTGAAAAAAGTGAGCTAGCAAAAGCTGCTTTAGTATTTCTTGTATATTATGTAGTGTTACTTCGGAATTGTTCTGCGAGAGGAGTGCTAATGGCCCATCCATTGTTACGACATATGAACACCACAGGTGCTTCCATAACCGCTGCAAAATTTAAGCCAGCATGGAAATCTCCCTCGCTTGTGGTTCCATCTCCAAAATAAGTCACTACACAAGCGTCTTTACCCTCCACTTTCAGCGAATACGCTGCTCCTGCCGCTTGAGGTATCTGTGTCCTATGGAAAGATATAGGAGTTTAGCTTTACTTCATCATTATTGTTTTTTTTCACATAACGTTCATTTTTTTATCATAGAAAAAGACTGAACTCTTACGCAAGAGGGGAAGAAATGGTGAAGATATTGTGCTTGTTGGAACCATAGTGAATGGGCATTTGCCTGCCTTTCCCGTAGTCATACTTATTCCCAAAGCATTGGTTTGCCATTTCTTGCAGGGTGAAGTCTCTCCAGAACAGAACCCCTAGTTCCCGGTACTATATATATTCCGTATGATCAAAAATTGGATGTTAGATATGAACTAATTAAAGGATCATGGCTTTTTAAATTACTCGCACAGCAAAACCATTTATCAAAAAGTATGTCTCACATCGCCTGGTTATAAAATAAAAAACAATATAAAAGGCATTGATTTGTCACTCATATCAGATTGATCTTTCAAGATGTAACATCTATATTAACACACACAAAAAGTGCAGTACTAGTAAGTAGTAATGAACCTGAAGCATTAAAATGTCTTGGGGGGAGAGGGCAGCCGCAGATCCTATGCTGACAGCTTCTTCTCCATAGGAGGTTAAGTAGAAGGACAATCTCCCCTGCCTTTGCGCTTCATAAAATATGGTGTCCGTTGTTTCAACACTCACCATTGTACTATACATCTTCACTGCCATTTCTTCTTTCACCTTTTAGAAAAAAGGTAAATCTATTCAGAATGTGAGTTGAATTAACTGATTTATCTTTAAACATCTTTATTATGGTATGATCCCAGTCGATGTATAGTGGTGACCCGTGACCCAAACCAATTCTAAACTTATATTCACTTTCCTTCATTAATAGTTCATATTATCTCTCCCACATTCCATTTTTAGCAATTTTTTACTTTTTGGATTTTGTCATATTTTTCATTTCTTTTTTACACAATACACAGCAATACAATTTTAATCTTAATTTAACTGAAAAAACTTCTGAAACACGCCTAATGGAAAATCTAACCATTTAAGATGGGTTTTTTAAAACTAATTTAAAGTTGAATTGAATAATAAAAACTTTGAGTTTTACCTGCTTATTAAGAGTGGTTGAAAAAGAAAAGAGGGGCCGGTTGAAGTGTGGTAGAAAGGGTATGAAATCATAAGAAACACTTCTTTTTTCCTTACTAAATAAGTATTCAGATAAAAAAGAAAAATTTGCGTAAAAAATAAAAGATAAAAAAGAAAAACATGAATATTATTTCGGTGGAGTAACTAGCTACCTGATCCAATGCGGTGCCGGCGGGCAAGAGATTGCCGTCATCATCCAGAACACGAAAACAGGGGATCCTCCCATCTTCATCAATAGCTCCAGTAATAAACTTCATCTTCGTAGTGAAAGGCACCTTCCCGCCTGGGAAATCCAATGCCTGCTCATTTAAAAATCATTTCAAAGCTAATTTCTCGTAAATGTTTTCTGCCAGATCAATTGCACATATATAGATCAATCAATGTGTATGGCGGCGCGTGTAAACAGTACTAAACGCGCTACAGAAAGTAAGCAAAAGACAATTTCTGTCCTCAGCTGGTCTGAGATTCCAGACAGAGGTTCCCATTTATGAAACTAACCGGAATTTTAGCGTCTTCGTCCCCGTCGCTATCCGTATACAGAGCAGGAGACTCCTGCGCCATTGCGCCGGATGACTTAAAACGGCGAAGGGATGGAATGGTGGAAGCCGCCGCAGCAGCAGGGCAGCCGCCTAGTGATAATAATAATCTTTTGTGATTTTGGATGATGAGCGTTTTCATTAGGGAACCCATTTTAGAATGTGTTTGATTAGCAAGATTGGTATGCTAGCTAGCGGCTCCAGATCAATGAGACGAGGAAGAAGATGGATAAATGTGAAATTTGTAGTTTACTAAGAAGATGAAAAGAGGATTTTTTTGATGTGATTTGTTCATATGGTTATCAAAAGGTGGTGTGGATGAGAATGGATACATTGCAAGTAAACGTTACGAACAGCACAATGATGATTGACTATAAGTAGTTCAATTTTGTGGACTTCTGTCAAAAAGAGTAACTAGAAACTTTGAAGAGTACGTAGTACTACGTAGTTTTTGGTCAAATAAAGTTGCAATTCTCTTTTGCCAAAAAAAGATGCAATTCTTTTCAGTCAAGAAGCTTCTAATGCCGAACTGTTTTTAACTTTTAGGGATAAAGGGTCAAATAGGTACTTGAACTAATTAAAGTGTTCAATAAACCCTTTATATGGACAACTGTCAAATAGGTCCTCAAACTTTCATAAAAGGTCAATTAAGTCCTTCTATAAGAGGTTCTGTCTGGCCGTCGCGATTTGGGGCAGTTTCCGGTGGAATTTTTTGATGAATTTTTTTGAGAATCTTATTCACCAAGTCTAGTTTACTCATACCAAATTTCAGCTAAAAATTCAATCGGTAACACATTCAAATTAATTCTTGAAGATAACTGCGCATTTTTGCGTTCTTGAATTAATTTGAATACGCTCCTGATTAAATTTTTAGATGAAATTTGGTATGAGTAAACTAGACTTGGTGAATAAGATGCTCAAAAAAATTCATCAAAAAATTCCATCGGGAACCACCCCAAATCGCGACTACCGTACAGAGTCTACTATAGAAGGACTTTATTGACTTATTTATGAAAGTTCGAGGACCTATTTGACAGTTTTCCCACCCTTTATATAGGAGGTTATGTCCGGCCGTCGCCAATTGAAGCGGTTCCCGGTGGAATTTTTTGATGAATTTTTTTTAGCATCTTCTTCATTAAGTCTAGTTTACTCATACCAAATTTCATCTAAAAATTCAACCGGGAAGGCAGTCAAATGATTTTTTGAAGATAACTACGCAGTTAAACAGCGCAATACATTTCGAAAAATCATTTGACTGACTTCCCGGTTGAACTTTTAGATGAAATTTGGTATGGGTAACTAGACTTAATGAAGAAGATGCTCAAAAAATTTCATCAAAAAATTCAACCGGAAACCGCCCCAATTGGCGACGGCCGGGCAGAACCTCCTATTTAAGATGCTAATTGAACACTTTAAATTAGTTCATGTACCTATTTGACTCTTTAGCCTAACTTTTATACTAATGCAAATTTTTACTTTTAACCGTTTTTAATTAGATTGATTTTTTGTTTGGTATGCTCACTTTAAGTTTGATATGATGTGAACTAACCTTGTTTAATAGATATTTGTATGTGTCTTCTACAACTTTCGAAATCCGATATGATCTGTTTAAGTCTAGTCCGATTTCATTTAATCTAAATTTAAACCATTTCAATTAAAATCATTCTTAATGTTTAGATATGTGTTATGATGTACTCCATTGGGTCAGGCCTAGCCCCCTTAGTGGATCTTGTTTCTGTTCTTTTTTCTCTCGTGTTATTTTTGGGAGGAATGCCTCCTTGGAGGGGTTTTGGTTTGGTACCCCCTCTCTCTGTATCTGTTTTTCTATTTAATAAAAACATGGTAAATGTGCCCCCGGCATTTACCCCACTGATTTTGGTGGTTTACCTTCCAGGGTAAAAAAAAGAATATCATGTTTAGAATAGACACTCCCTTTCACTTCTCATCTTTATCCTATTTTGATTCACAATGAAGTATTTTGGAATTATTTGTGTATCACCGGCAGCAACTACAATGTCATCTATTTTGTCCTTTGATCTTTTGATCTTGGAAGAAGAAGATGAAATATTGATAATCCGGCTTCCTCCTGAGTCGCCACTCGCCACCATGGAGTGAACGAGTGGCTAGAGTTTGTTTTACTTTTATTTCAAGTTTCATTGTTATATTCGTAAACTATTTACTTTGTTTTCATATTGTTTGTGTTAGTGGCAAACTTGAGTTATCTAGTTTAGTTTTGAATAGAAGTATTAAGATTTCTAAGGCCGTTAATTGCTTCGAAACTTTCGTATGTTTAGTGAAAAGTTTTGCTCAATTTGAGTGTACTTTTATCTGTCTCATCAGTGAGGGGAATTGACTATCATGAGTCTAGTGAAATGATAGAGTACATTGAATTTAAAGGTCAAAAGAACTCTATGTTCTTCGTTTGGTGGTTAGTGATTCACATTGTTTTTTTTAAGGTAATTAACCGTCTCAGAGTCTGATCGAAGAACGTTTCTAGAGTTTAGATAGAGTTTCATTTCCTTTGAAAAACATGGGGCTCTTCAAAAAATGATAGAATTTACTCCCTCTGCTCCCACAACTACCTTCTAACTTCTTTTTACATCTATCACAAAGTATTCACATCTTTTCTTTTGTCACACTATTGACGAGTCTAACTATGAATTATGAAGTGAAATACTCTTTTACTATCTGCCATATTCATATACAGAACACGCGTTTGTACCAAGCTGTACCATAAGACTTGGTCAGTGGCGGAGCCAGAAATGTATGATTGAGGAGGTCAATCCTTAGAAATTTTACATTGCAGGGCCAAAATTTAAAATATCAACATACTTTCTATAGGTTAAAAGTATTTATACATAATATATACTTAAGAATTTTTTTCTTGCATGGGCTGAGACCCCTCCAACCCTCCCTGTCTCCAGCCTTGGAGTTGGTATTATTGGTAGCCATACTCAATACGGAGCATATTTTAATTATTGCATGAAATAAAGTATTATATTTAGGACTATTTACTATTCTAAAATAAACTTATGAATAAATTAAAGATCAGATATGGTTAAAGTTAGTATAATGATATCTGATCAATATCATCCAGGATTGGACATACTGTAACTAACATAAATCATTATTTCATATTTAATAATCTCATTTGACAATACCAGTTTGAACTCGATCATATCAAAATCATTTGGCCTAACAATTTTAATGGTGTGCATGTTCAAATATTCATCATTATCGAATTGAATACCCATAGTCGAATATTTCTCACCTTCACCCATATACCACTGTGCATAACGATATCATTCTTAACTGATTAATTGTTTATGTGCTCAAGTTCTCGGATTGGGATCCTCTACCCGACTAGGAGGGTGCCTTGCGCATCGGACGGGAGGGGAGCGGCCAACACGGCCTCGAGATCGGCAAAAAAGTGGAGCCCAAGATCTCCAACCGTTGAATTGTCGATCGGACGACCGGGAGGAAGCAATGCACTCTACCTTACTCTAAAGTAAGGTAGAGGTTCCGGATCCCAAGTTCTCAGTATATATAGCTCCCGATAAAACTATCAATGATTGATCCAATGATACTAATCCCAACAAGAAGCTAATTCTCACAGCTCATTTAAGGCGAGAAAATTACCTTAAATTGCTCTCAATCGTCACGCTTCTCTTTGATGGTGTTATTAGGAATCTGTTGGAGGTATTGGTCCTACCAAGGCTTCCCTTCCACTTTATTATTTAGGCTTGCACCCCATGTTTACTCCCACTTTGATTCCCAGAGTTGAAATCACTTATTATGGCCTGTTTGACTTATCTGGAGTATGCCCCATTGTTTTTTGTCCGCTGCTGCCTTGCTTATACCCGTGAGCCTTTGTTGTCTTGGCCACACCCGTGAGTGTCCTGTTGTTTACCCGTGACTTCTCAAATTGGCAGCCTGCCTAGTATAAAGTCTGCTCCTTTCCTTCTTTGTGAGATAAGCCTGCAAGATATCAGCAGAGTCTTCCTTCTTCCTTTCTTTGTGTGAGAGTTCCTTTGTGGAGTGAAGAAGAGTGAGTAAACATGGGAGATGTTGTGGCCTAGCCCTAGAGTGGTGTGTGAGTTTAGTTTAGAAGGTTGGAGACCTGAGCCGGAGACGGAAACGGTCCTTACAGTGGTATCAGAGCCGGAACCGCCGTCTGCCGCCGTCCGCCGCCGCCGCCGCCGCCGTCGACTGGAGCTAGCCAAAGGTCTTGGAGCTGCCTGGTCGTTCTCTGGAGCTCGCCGATTTCTCTGTTTGCTGAAATCGCAGCTCGCCGGAAGTTGATTCTTCGCCATCAACGCCTGGAAGTTCTGCCATCGCCGCCGCCGAAAGCTCACCGTCGCCTGGGAGACCCGCCGCCGACACCTAGAACCCAAGCCGTCGTCGTCGCCAGGAACCTCGCCGTTCGCTGCCTGGAGGTTGAACTCGACCTCTGATCATCCATCGTCGGCGTCCTCTGTTCATCGTTGGAGCAGAGGTTTCTCGCGTAGAAGATACGCTATTGTCCATCGCTGATCTCGCGTAGAAGCCAGAACCGATCCAGGCTGTTGGGCATTGGGCTTGTGGACTCCAGGACCTGGGCTTTTGGGCTGTCTACTGCTGGACGGGCTGTAGCTTGGATGCAGGAGCTGGCTATTGGGCCAGTTGTCTGGAGCTGGACTTGGCTGTTGGGCTGACTGGAGCTGGAGCTTGGACCGGGCTGGAGTTGTTGACTTGGACTGCTAGAGGTGCTGGACCACCAGTCAACGCCGGTCAACGCCGGTCAACGCCGGTCAACACAGTCAACTTCTCAGAAAAATCCCTATTTTTTAAAAATTGGGTAGGTAAGGTCGAAACGCTCTCCTAGGGTTTCGCGAAGGTAAGTTTTCGATAAACTTCCTATTTATAGCATTCCGGTTTTAAATTTAATTTGTTCCCCCTCCCCGCGGGCCGCCGGTTGATTTAATCCCGGCCGCCAACCCCCCAGGTACGTTTTCTAAACTCACTCATTTGTGGTAGTTTGTTTTAGTTAATTAATTAAATTACTTTGTGTTATTTAATTTAATTGTTATGCGTAGGGGTGGTTTATTGGGTGGTAGGGGTAGAATTAATTAATTTTAATTTTCTGCCCAGAATTGTTTAATTGCCATTATGTCCATTTTTGCTATGTGTTGCATGCTGCCCGAGGTTATTAAAGTGAATACTTTATAACCCGGGTTGGATTATTTTCTGTCAATTCTGTCTGTTTAGCTTTGTGTTCCTTTTGTGGTTGATACCATGGCTGCGAATCAGTATGGTATGCTTCCATTTAATGGAAAAACAGATTTTGATATTTGGA